ATAGTTTATCTAACCTCACATTTTATCGATAAAACGGGAAAAACAACAGACTTCTCAAGAACATTTAGGATCCCTTTAAGTATATACTAGTTGTATCAAAGAGACACGTCCCAGCAAACACCGATATATAATTGTTACATTACTATAATAAAACGGAATATAACAGGTAATATAACGTGTACGTTACATGTAACATCCATGTTAATTGTAATTTCCCACTCATAGATGTAACATTTTAATATAACATATATTACATTGTAGTTATATTGTAATTATATACCAAATAGCACATTGATGTATTGATAAGTCAGTGCTATCTTGAGATATAATGACAATATAACTACAATGTAATATATGTAATATTAAAAAATGTTACATCTATGAGTGGGAAATTATAACTAACATATACGTTACATGTAACATGCTTGAGTATATAACATTTATATATTGTGTTTGCTGGGGTCAAATACGTCTGACAATTACAAAATATTTTCTCGAAGAATCGTCCGAGAAATAAAGAAAAAGAAAAATATATACAATAATAATGATGCATCTCTTCTTCTGTCATTTATGCTACAGTTCGTTGAGTCTGCAACGTTCAATCGATACTGTACAAATATCCAATAACATCGGTCATCGCCACATATGTGACACGTTAAACACGAAACGGGGTATCCAAAATTCGTGTCGTTCAGCGAAAAATATTCGACGATGACGAGAATGATATTCGTAAAAGCGTGTATCTCCGCGCGCATCACACGGAGTCGCGCATATTTCATTTTAACAAAATACATGTGGAGGGAGAGAACGGGATGCGATCTAGTAGAGTAGCAACACTAACAACTCTCTGCGAGAAGCCGAGAGTGTAAGACGCTATTGCAAAGATCCATGTCTCTCCGGTACACGGCGAGGACAAAGTGCGGATGAAAGAAGAATGGAATACAAAGTCCTACTTAAGACACAGTGTCCCCCGACCACAAGTGCGGTCCTTTGAGATTTACTTCGCACGTCTAGCTTGGAAGATTTACCTTTTAGAAGTTACCTCCGGCGCGCTCGTACTTAGGGATTCCCGTGTCCTGTGTCGTGATTTAATCGGTGAGCATTAGCATAGTCCTCTTGAGATACACCGAGATGCAACGACATGATATAATACATAGCTGCATTTTACATTTTAAGCGACATATTGAGTCGAGTTGTCATCGTTCTCTTTTCTTTCCTCGACCTGCGTCCAGATCCGTTTATAAAATCTTAGAGTAGTTATCACGATAGCTTTGAATTTTTTTCGAGTGACAAATATGTCGCTACTTATAATAAGCTGCCGAAAGACTTTGCGATGGTAAATATTCGAAACCGAGGCAACCGAGCAAGCGATAGCTTTTTCTTTTTAAAGCGACAGCTTTTGACAGCGTTTCCCTTTTGAAATTGAAGTCGTGGATCCGTTGGTTTATGAGAAATTAACCTGACGGTTGCCATAAGCAGACGAGGACGACGAATCCAAAGATGTGTTAGCTAGATTTCATATCTTTAAATTAAATATGTTTCATCTGAGAAGTGTATATACTCTTTTTAGAAAAAAATATATACTGCTGTATATTTTCGTATTCCATTCATCATCCAGATATATGTATATGTAATAATATTCAAATCTAAAGAGATTATTTATGTATAATTTATAGATGAGGTTAAACAATTTTCAAACGTGATACGATAAATATGTACATATTAACAAATATTAAATCATTTTAATTAACTTAATTTATCTTGCTGATGCAGATAATCAGTTATACAGCTCTATTTGTAAATACAGTTCAATTATAAAGTACATTAAAACATATCAAAATATATTAAGGGCAATATCCAATTTTCTTGTGAAACATAATTTTATGCTGTATAAGCATATATAATATTAATTTATTATTAATCTTATTATTTGTTAAACATATTTTTAGTACAATTTAATTTCACAAAATTCAAATATTTCAAACTATTTCAAATATTTCAGATTATTTCATTTATCTTTTCGTTGCATTATATATAATTAATACAAAAAATGCAATTATAATTTGAATATACACCCCCCTCCGAGTCTGCTATTTAGTTACACAAATTCGAGAAATGCATTTTTGGAATGCCACAAATGTACAAAATGTACATTAATAATATAAAAAATTAAAATCCAAAATAATCTTACAAATCTTGTAAACAATGTTACACCAGCGTTCTATTCTCTCTTGCAGATAATTTTTACTAAATGAATTATTTATTAAAAATATTCCCTCTTCTTTTCTTTGCTCTTTATGAACATCTATTATTAAATTAATAAAAATTATCGAAAAAAATGTACTTTATTATAATTACACAGGAGCTAATATAATACAAGTAATGAAACAGGATAGTTTAATTAAATTGATATTCTGTTTAATCGACTGATTTGATAAAAACCATTCTTTCTCCGATCATATAATTTATCACCGAATGAAACATTGCTGAAACGTGCGGGGTTCTAGAATAAAAATATGTGGACCATTTAATTCTTCGCGACGTGGTTACTTTCAGTGATGAATTTCACCGGCGCGACGTTTATTCAGCGATGACGCGAATTATGAAAAATTACGATCGTCTCATACATGATACGCGCGGCCGGCGAGCTTAATTAATTCGCGATTTTCTTCGTGATATGCAAATTCCCGGACACGAAATCTCGGATAAATCGGACCCCCGGCTCGCGTATGGAATTCGAGAAGATCCTACATCGCGCCAGTTTAATATACGGATGTGAACCTGGTGCCCGACGTAAAAAAAATTTTTTAAATATAATCCGTTTGTACCTCGTTTGTACCTCGTTTGTACCGTTTGATTTTTCATTTGTATACCTCAAAGGGTTATAAGATATCGAGGGTTAAAAAATAGTGAACGCCTAACTTTAAGATATTTTATTTTCATTAACTGCATTCGAAAGAGAATCGTTTGTACCCGTTTGTACATTTTTTCAAATCGTTTGTACCTCAAAGAAACCGGAAGTACAGACATTTCAAAATTTGCGTAGGGGGTAACTTTATCATTTTTAAAGACATTCGAAATCTGCAAATGGGTACTATTTCCTAATCGTTTGTACCCGTTTATACCTTTCTGCAAATCGTTTGTACCTCGAAAGGACTGGAATTACAGGCTTTTCAAAATTCGACCAAGAAATAGTTTCACCAGTTTTTGAGATATTGAAAAACGGCCAATGGCATTTGAAAGAGAATTTGAGTTAAGGATATTATGTCGATAATTATATATGTATAAAGTATTATTGTATATATATTATATTGCTATATTGCCGCAATATTGTATTACAATATTTCTGCAAGCAAACCTTTTACAATTGCTGCAGTATTACAACAACAAGTTGCAGCAATATTTTACAATGTTGATGCAATGCTACAATCTTGCATAAAATGTTGCTGCAATGCTGTTGCAATCTTGCAGTGCTGTATGGACTATAGCTTACCAATTAGAATATAAAAAGGGAGCTATTATGTAATACATGCACATATTTACATCTAATTTTTTGTATATCTTATAGTATAGTATTTTTAATTATTTTTCTAATTACACAATTAGTGGTATATTAATAATATTTGATATATTTACAAGTATACTTTATAACTTAGGACTCACCAATTTTTTAATTTTTTTATACCATTATACATGCTATGTTCAAATATGCATAAAATAATAAAGTATAAATTTTAAATTTTACAAAATGATACAATTTAAAAGTAAATACATCAAATATGATTTGTGCACTCAAAGTCGTACTATATTTAGTTAATTATTATAAATAGTTTTTCTTCATTTTAGAACGTAATGTCTATGAATTAAATTATGCATATGTATATGTAAGGATATTAATAATGCATAATACTATATTATTTATATAATTATTACATACATTATAATTTCATAATTTCTTTAAGTAATTTTTAATACTTTTATTAATAAAAATTAATATTTAAGTTATTGTGTGTGTGTATGTGTATTAAAATGAGAATAATACATATCATACATAACATTTTAATAATATGTATGCAATATAAATATATATATATATATATTGCATACATATTATTAAAATGTTATGTATATATATATATATTTAAAAAATTAGGATATATTTTTAATAAATAAACAATTATTTTAAGTATTGTATATATATATATAATTCAGAAATTGTAATATTGAAATAATTTTCGATCCTTAAAAGTTTATCGAATAAAATGCTTTTGAAGCTCTAAAATATTATAATTTACACATAACAGATAAGACATATATGAGACTAAATACATTTAACTATATTGTCTTTTAAGTATTAGTCACTAGGTTAATTAAATTATGCCTGTGTGTCTAAATTTATCGTACGCATATTCAATAGATATCCGTGACTGATTTAATACTTTAATTGATAATTCAGTAATTCTGACACTAAATAAAATACTGTACAAAGAGAGGAAGAGTCGTGAATATTAATTTTCATTAAAAATAATTAATATGAATAAAATAAATAGAATTATTAAAAATTATTGAAAAAATTATTGAAAAATACAATTAAGAAGATAATTAAGATAAAATTATCGAAAGCGATGAATATATTAAAAGATATTACACCATATTATTTTGTGAAAATGTTTTTCGAAATAAGTAATATAAATTTGTAAATATTTATTTGATTAATTGAGCAAAATTTGAATGTGCTTAATTAAGACAATTGTTATACACAAATGTCGCCACACGCTCACACACGCACGCACACACGCACGCACACACGCACATATACATATATAGGGTGTCCGGTAATTGTCGCTTTAACCATCGTATACATGTAAAGTGAGTTAAACCGAATAGGAAAGTGTTACAGTAGGACGTCTCTTCTCGTCGCACGCTTCTATTCGCGTGGATTGGCCGATCTTTTTTATCTAATAACTCAATAATTATTGCAAAAATCGCAAAAAGATACAGGACTTTCCTATTTGGTTTAACTCACTTTACCTGCACACGACGGTTGAAGCGACAATTACCGGACATCCATATAATAACGACCTCAGAGGTTTTGTTGACCTAACACATTATATTTATTATGATCACACATACAGAGAATCAGTCAGTCTTTCGTGGTCTTTCGAATCACATCGTGGTAGATATACCTAAAGATTGTAATAAAGTGAGTGCGAACGTTTTGTATTCTTCCGACATTGCATACTGCTACAGCATTAATTTGTTGCAGTTTATAAAACAAATTATATCAATATACATATGCAATTAACATACTGGACCGAAATATTGGGTAAGTCAAAATAAGTTAAAAATATAAAAACATATATTTGTCTACAAATACAAAAAAATTTAATCATACCGTATAACGGAATTTTAAAGAATTTGCAACAGATAAGCTATAAAGAAAATAGTTTTATTCAAAATTATCTTTAAATTTTTATACACACACAGAGATAATTTAAATAATGTCGATATTATAACATTTTACGAATTGTAATGTTGAAATAATCTTGGACCCACAAAAGTTTAATATTCAATAAGTTATTCCTGAAACTTAAAAATACTACAATTTACAGATAATAAATATTATAACAGACACTTTTAATTGTCCTTTTATTATTAAGACTATTAAAATTCTGTTTTATATAATATGTCGTACTTATTTTTTATAAAAGAAATATCTGTGTGTATTTTAATATATAAAATAATATTTAAATTGTACTGACATTGAGTAGAATAACTGTAACGAGGAAGAAG